ATTAAGAAAAAAGAAAAATTAAATTTCTCTACTGCAGCAAACTAGGGGTAGCTACAACAGCTTGTATAAAAATTCAACTGTACATGTCACAGAGAATCATTTATCAATGTCAGTGAACTCCAGGAGCTTTCCACACGAGCAGAAAAAACTGCACTTTGCAGGGCTAAGCCTAGAGTATGAGACATGCTGAAGAGCAGGTTTCAGAGATGCTCTATGCTATGAGAGCATCACAGGGCAGCCCAGCCAGGCTCYGAATTGGAAGTGGTTCAGCTGGTTACCGTTCTCTCTCTAAATCAGTGCCTCTTGATTTTGAGGAATAAGTCAAGAGATTCATAGGCTTTTTTTTAAAAAAAAAAAAAATTTTAAAAAAACCTTTTAAACCTAAATGCACGTTGAATACGTGTCAAGTTAACAAGTTCAAGTCAGGAGTAAGGACATAAAGTGATCCGGGAAAACAGAAATGTACTTTTAAGTGAGCTTGGGCAGCTCCCAAAGTGAACTGTGTCCAGCGGAAACAGGGTCCAAGTGCTGATGAGGGTTTATTTAACAGCTTCTATCAGCTTTCAAAGCCCTGTGTGTCATCGAAGTCTATCGATGAAGTTGTACATCATATTTACATATGTACATATTTAAAAAGAGCCACAATACCTAAATTAAGGCCAGATGTGGCAGAAACAGATGTTTACTGTCATTTCAAGTTTACTATCATTTTGAGACAACAAAAACACTTGCTGACTTTACTATATACTTTCCTGAGTAAATTCTCAAAGTAATAAAGTCATATAAAAGACTTCTAATTTCCTAACATATATCTCACATTAAACAAGTGTTCAACTGCCCCAAACTCCTGCAATTAGTATGAAATTTAATCATGAAGTATATCTATGTTATGATTCACTCTTGTTACATAATTAGGGAATCATTATTACATTACCTATGAAAGTATTGGGTTTAATAAAAATAAACTTAATAAAAATTGAAGCCAGTAATGAGCAACTCCACCAAAAAATCAAATACACACATGAAAAATTACTATCTTGGCTAAGTCTGAATCACCCAGACAATGCACTTCCTCACCCCCACTTTTTTTCTTTTTTCTTTTTTTTTTTTAAATTTTTTTTTAACTTTAAAAAAAGAAAAAAGAGTTTCTCATCGAAGAAAATATTTTAACTGGATTTAACTCTCAGTTTACAACTTTCTATTTCTGTGATAGCCTACATACTAACCTAATTCTTCTCGCATATCTAAAAGCACTAAAAGTGTCAAATAAAATAATATCATTATATATTTTCAATGAAAGCGTGAAAATATTCTCCATTTTGAGGAAACAACATTCTATTAGATTGTTTCTTAAATCTAATGAAAAAACCCACAAAATTATATTATAATTTTATACACAGAACTTCTATTTCTGTGAGCAATGTTTTCACCTCATAAACCCAACTGTTGAATGTATCCTTCTGCTGGCACTTCTAAAGCACAGTAAGTCCATACTTCGTTAAGCTTTGCACCATAACAAGTTGCAGTAAACTGTATGAGACATTAAAATCGCAGAACTTTACAACTAAACAGAAGAAAATCATGAATTAATATTTGCAAATTAAATACTATTATTACCAAACTATAGAGGTCTGAGCAGCCTAAAAATCTTTTAGTTATCACAATTGGACTCCAATTACTCTTTTTGCTGATGAGTAGCTGCTGGTAAAGGGTRTTTGCTTTGCTTTGTTGGATTGCTTTCATAAATACAAAACTTTTTTAGGTATTACCAGGCTGATTTAAGAATGCATCAGGTAATTTTACAGTTTAGTATCTCAAGCATCTACTCCAACTGTTTTAAAATACTGAAACATGAAGCAGAAAGCCAAGTAATCATTATCCCACATACATTGTTAGCAAAACTGTTGAGCCATTTCCAGCTGAAAAAACRGCGGAGCCATTTATGCAGGCTACAATAACTGATTAATCACTTCTTAAAGCCAGCTCTGSAAATATCTACACGAAACTACTACTACACCACAGTGCAAAACTAAGTTACAGGTAGATGTAGCACAATATAAACATGTACACAGTGGGTAAGGACTACAAATCATTAACACACAAAAATAGGACAGAAACCTGTTTCATTTTAGAAGGGACAGACTCAACAGCACAATTCTTTAGTCAGTGTATTTCCTATAAGGACAAAACATTCCACTAGTTTATTCTGTGTTAGGATTTCTGTCAGAAGATCAATAAACATTAGTATTATTCCATCAAACAGTATCATAACTATACATTAGATGAACTTAAAATGATTTTTTTCCTTATATCAGATTTTGAAAGTAGGAGGTTGTTTTTCCTTTAAAAGAAATATTTGAAAACTCAGATATACATATTACAGTTGCAAGCCCATACAGGACTCTGTGCTGTCACCTATTAGCAGTATGTGAATACAGCAGTTTAAGCTTGCCCAGTACTGCTTGCAGAAACTGCATGTAACAGCTCCTGGTGAAACACACCGGTATGGTGAAACACACTGTAAGTGATAACAGACAAGAACTTTATTCAATATAAATTCAGAACCCTGCAGCAACTACTGTCATTTACAATTTTTCTGTAATTTCACAAAATGTGACAATTAGAAAGAAAAAAGTCAACATGCATAAAACGTTGTGCATCATCAACTTGTAAAAGAGAAATTTCTCTAACTTTCAGTAACATCTCTTATTCAATAACAGTAGAAGAACCTCTTATCTCATCATATGAAATATTTCAGTGGCTCATGGAAATTACTCTGTAAATCAAACACCACAGCTCAATTCTGTCAGTGATTAATTTATACTCATAGTTATAAAACTGAACATAAAATCAAGAGATTGTTATCTACCACGTGCTTAGTCTTTAGTAACCAAAGTTTATTTTCTTACCTCAGCAGCCTGTGTCTCTTGATGTAATAAAGTTAGACCTGTCAAATCTTCTAAGAAGGAATGTGAGGAATTAAAAACTTTAGCTAGGAAATTAAACCCTTCTCGTTCATACTGGTCAAGGACCTGTCAAATAAACAAAGAGATAAGAACTTGAAATAAGTTATCATGTGATTCTTCACTGTATTTATCTTGTAAAATAAAAGCATAATCTTTCTGAACACTCAGAGAATTACTGCATATTTTAAATGTGAAAAAAAATCACAGGAGAAAGAATCACTTTTCCTACCTCCATGTCCAAAGAAAGAAGGTAGAAGCAAGAGGGAATTCCTGTTTTAAACATTTTTTTAAGCTTATAACAACACAGAAAATAAGACAAGAAGAAAAACAGTTGCAAAGTCAATAAAAACAGGATTTATGAGATACATAGCTGAAGACTTTTTTTCAGGGCATCAGTTAAGGTAAAGGACAGACYAAGGAATTTCTCAACCAACGGGCCAAGTGTGACATCCTCGCAGCCTCTAGAGATTCATATTTCTTGTACTGTTAAATCTTAAAGCCCTCAGTGTATTCATCCACTCTCATTTGAACAACCTACCTTTTACTTAAAAAATCTTATAAAGACCTCAAAGAATTTTGAGCAAGTCTTTAGCCTATGTCTTGAACCCTCTTCTCTTCAACCCTGCAGAATTTTTATCAATGCAGCTCTAGCTTACATGACTATTCTGCAGGATGATTTCAACCTACTATGATGGAGATGGAGAAAAGGAAGGATAAATATCAAAGATTTTTCAAGTTTTGTTCAAGCAGACAGCGAGACAAAGGAAGAAGTCTGGCAGTCCGTGAACCAATTTCACTTACAGAAATTCATGAAAGAGAACTGAATGCATGCCAGAATTTGAGAAATACACTGAGGCCACATATATGACACAGAAAATAGAGGACAGGATTACCAGGATCACCAATCATACAAGATGCAGGATTTACAGGAYAGATCATGAGCAGAATCCACAAAATTAAGTGCCTGCCTTAAATCTTTTACTGTGAGAAGTTTTATTGCCCTTCTCAGAAGATATATTTTCATCTTCAGTCACCATCTTCGCAAAATAAATCTAGATTGATCTAAAGAACCAAAAAAAATGGAGCAATGATACGACATTCTGTTTCTTTCATGAAGTGTCCGATAATTTTTACAACAATCCTTTTTCTGAAAGCCAGAGCCTGAAAATGCCTCTTTCCACAGATGATCCTGAGGCTTTGCTTCTACCTCTATCCCTCCACACTGTAGACTTATTTTCATATATTCAAATCTGGATATACATTACTTAAGTGCATCTCTCCTTATACCAGCATTTGCAAGCAGAACCATCTAGAAACAAATCCTCAACAGACAGTAAGGTATAACCACCCTCGGAAAAAACCTTCAGAGTAAGCTCAACACTTACCAAATATCAGGGAACCCCAAAACTACCTTGCTAAAACTGTCCTGACATAGCAAAAGCACCAGAATAGTCTCCTAAGCACTATAACCAGACAATGAGATACAGCCCCAAGCTTCTCATTCTAAAGAAATACCTGTTTTATGATGTCTTGATGCATAAATTGAAATATTGACCCCACCTGTGCCTTGTTACAGTTTGTGTGCAGACTATCTGCATTTTATTCTTCTCATTTTGGTTTAGCTCCTCCAACTCAAGGCTAAACAGAAGAACAAAGACTTTTCTGTAATCAGCTAACTGCCTGAGAGGTGGGCAAGAAACCATCCCCTGCCCCCCGCTTTTTTTTTTTTTTAATTAAACAATACACACTGCACTTTTATTATTTTTAAAAGAGTGATGTAGTACAGCTTCAGTACCACCTAGAGTGCAGAGCTCAGTATTAGGCTCCATCGTGGGGCGGCAGCAAGTTCAACAAAAGGCCACAACACTGACTAAGGAAGTGCAGCAACCTGGCTGCAAGCAGGAGCTGAGACTGTAGGAGGTAGGGGTGTTTTGGGTTTTTTTTTTTTTTTTTTTTGGCCTGGAGGAGAAAATGTTTAAAGCAGATCCTAACAATGTGTCTATATGTCTTGATGGCAAGTTGCAAAAGAATAAGACACAGCTCTTCTCAGCAGTGCCCAGGGATTGGGTATGAGGTAACAAACACCAATTTAAATTCTACCTGGATGTGCACACACGTACATTCTACATGGATGTGCACACATGCACACACACAAAAAGACTTCTTCCCTCAGAGTATGGTAGAAAACTACAACACATTGCCCAGAGAGGCTCTAGAAAGTGCAAACTTGGAGATATTCAAAGCCCACCTGGACAGAGTGGGTGCTAAGCAATTTGCCTTAAGTGATCCTGCTTGTGCTGGGGGGTTAGGTTAGATGATCTTCAAAGGTCCTTTCCAAATCCAACTATTTTATGATTCTGAGATTTCAATTCTTTCCCCAGGGAAAGAACAGACTTCAAACTCGGACAGACTTCAAATGCTGATGAGTCTTCTCCTTTCAATTGAAGTTTCATTTACAGAGGCTCTAGCTGAAATGGGACATTCCATCACCTTCAGGGACTTTCTCTTACTTCAGTTAGTTAATACTGTAAGAAAAACCTCTGCAGAAGACAAAAGCAACATTAACTTTCCATGTCACCCTCTGATAGAGCATGGTATACATTTATTCAGTATACTGGGCATATTTGAAAAGGAATGAGGCAAAATAAAACTCATCTGAAAACCTTGTGTCAGGAGACCATACACACATACTCTTCAGGTCATCAAGAAGCAAGCCAGTCTAGACATCAAATAGCCACAAAGTAACTCTAAAAATGTTTCCAGATTTAATAATCCCTCAATATGGTGCTATGTGGAAAGTAAATTCTTCCTTTTTTATTTATGTGCAGTAGAGTCTCAAGTCTCAGGGTTGCCATTACTTTGCTTTTTCAGTTCTGAACGCTTATCTTTCCGGCTAACACCATAACTGGTGCCCTGTGTGATGCTTCTGAATAATTGCTTTGCCTGTGGTCAAATCTGTATGAGGTGGTAAGGGTTATTACTATTACTTTTAATATCAAAGTTGCTATGTAATCACAAATCTAGAAAGCTCCTCAGGAACTTTCGGTGGAGATTGGGTCAGAGGAGAAATGTGTCACTCACCGTGACATGTCACTAAGGAACAATTTACTTTCTCAAGTAACAAAAACAGCAAAATAGCAAAAAAATTACCAGGATATAATTCCTCTGTGCAACAAGCTGGGGGCGGAGGGGCAGGGAAAGATTTATTAAGCACTTTTTAATCTTTTTTCTTCACTTGATGGTCCCTTTCCAGAGCTTACAGGGAGATTCATACAGAAGCTTCTTCCATGTATGTTACAACTGTCATGACCATTCACCTCATTTTAAAACCACATGCTTTTTGGACACATGTAAAACCCTCAGGCTGACGCTACAGACTTACTCTCCCTTTCACAGAGCCTGAGCTGTGAAATCCTTCTTCACATGATGGTTTTCAAATGCAATGAAGAATGCTGTGGACAAACATTATACCTGTAGATACATATTATCTACAAAAACAAATTAAAGCTTTGCCTTTTGGATAAATGATAAAGAGCAAACCATTTTATTAGCAATCTTTTATTTTAGCCTGTTTACTAAACAAAAATGAAACTGCACAGAAAGAGAATGAAACATAAGGCTTAGTGTAAAAGATTCATTTGGAATAAGAAACATATGTGGTCTTGGTGCTATATAGCCTTTTTAATACCATGTTTCACGTTGAATTTTTTGGATAGATTTCAGACTGAGAACCTGCCCCCAGGATTGCATTAGTACATAAACTTTTATGGTAAGAAAAGCAATTTGGCTTTCTAAAATCATCATCTCCTAGGTAATCCCACAGCACATGTATTAGAAAGATTTCTAATAACCAACCAACCTTTCTGAGGATAATAATATCCTAATTTTTGACCAACTCAGACTCACTATAGAGGAACAAAAAGGACTGATATTGTTACAGGAGCACAAAGATGATGCTAAGAACACTTCATCTTTTGAGATTAAACAGTATTATCTYAATGCATGTACAAAGAGTCATCTGCAGTAGTACACCTACACATAATTTTTTTTTGTTCTTAAAGCTCAGAAGGCACATTGCAGGTGCAAGCTGGGATGGGCTCACACTGCATCCATAGGCCAAAGACTATCCTGAAAAACTCAGAAGGTTATAAACCAAAGGCAAGAACAGTGCAGTTTTTAAATAATGTCTAATAACTAAAGCATCCTCTGCAAACACTTTTCTCCTTACTTTCTCATAATTGTTTTTAAAATCAAAGCAAAGCAGTATAAAGCTATATGAATACAAGTGCAATTCTAGGTTGAAAATTCACTTAGATTGCTGGTTTGAGTTCAATCTGTTTTGTCTGTTGGTACTACCTATACAAATTTTTTTAATAGTGGCTGACAGAAAACCAAGTATCAAGTTATGACAAATAGACCATTAAAGGTTAGACAGAACTTTAACCTAGTATTTTGCAGTTCCTTCTTCAGAAGAAACAGAGCAATAAAGCCAAGTTCTCAGAAATGTAACAGGTCTCTGATGGTCCTGCCTACACAAAGTTCACTCAAACATATGCTTTCTGAACCTTCCTGGAACAGTCCTGACATATATAAATATATCTACAAAACACCTTTTTTGTGACATGACTCATTAGACTAACTCTACAGACAAAATTACTACACTTAACTACTCTTTCCTCCCCAAACTATTTCTTACAAATGATTTTTAGCATATTGGTATCTTCAGATTATAGCCAATACAAAGCCCTTCTACTGGACAGTGCAGAAGTAGGTCTTAAAGACATATGCTGTCCAGAGGCATTAGTAGAAATGAAAGGATWTGAATATTTCCATTTTCAAGAACAAAGAAACAGAATTGTTTAAGYAGACAAAATCATTAGATCATCTGTCCTGACCTTTTGTAATACATGGGGTCTACCTTTCAGTCACCTAATAGCCATCTATCATTTGCTCCATATTTTAGACTCGATAGATATTTACAGATTTATCCCCATCCTGTTTCCTGTCCAAAATTTACACTGTACTGATTAGCTCATCAGCAGTTACAACATTTTTGGCTCAAGTTCATATTCATGTTAGTCACTATCTAGAGTGCAGCAACTGCAAAAAGTTGTCTTCTCCCATAGTATCTAAGGTATTGATCAATACGATCAAATACCAGTTATCAACTTCTGTTACTTACACACAGGAACGAAAATCTGTAACAATTCTCACTCTTCGCATTTATTGAACAGTCCAGAGACAGTATCCATTTTCCCTCGATCTCTGAAGCTAGGAGACTATGATGCTTCCCCAAACACAACACTGATCTAATAAAGGGAAGCTACTTTATGCTGAGCTTCCTCCTCTTAATTTCAAGGAAGCTTTGCAAACATTTGATTAATGGAGTTCCAAACTTCCATTGCAAAAACAAAATAGTGAAAAGCAGTTCCTAAGTTTGCTTTGCAAGAAGCATTTGCTATCTTTTCCCTAAGACAAAGGAAATACCCTAAACAATGCTCATTTTGGAAGATTTTTTTTTGCTTCATTACTTGAATAGGTTTTCCTATGTCAAGCTGTATTTAAATTTTGTTAGATATCAGGGATCCATCTGCCATCTAGAAAGAGAGACTTCTGTACTAAAGAGAAACAGATTGCCTAGAATAAAATGAGTTATCTTAGCATAGCAAAAAGGACAAATATGCTTTTGCTTAGGAAAGATGCAGCACATAACTGCAGATACAGCTGCTAGTCTCTGAAAGCCTATGCTATATTTGTCCTTAACTCAAAAGTTCTCAGTATACATCTTTGTCCACAGCCTATCAAACTAACAAGTCCTGACCACATGAAAAAATTAAACGGCTGGTTTAGTCTCAGAATATATCAAAATACCTTCAGTCAGCATAGATAGTACATGAATCTGAAAATTCTAACAACATAATGGAATAATGATGTCTTACAGATTTGCAAACATTCAAGTCCAAGTTATTTGGAAAAGTTGGGAATAACACACCAACAATGCTCACATTACAACTGGTCTTGTGTGTGTGCACACACACGCATGCACATGTGTGTGTTGAAAGCAGCATCCTCAGAATGCCTTAGATTCATCTTGTTAGCACCCTTTTACTTGGGACAAAACATTTTATTTTGTTAATGTCTGGCTTTATTATAAAAAAGTCAATATTTCAATTGTAAGACCAGGCATTCTCAAGGATGCGCACCTTTCAGACAACAGTAAAACCATCCTCACCACCACTAATATTTCTGCTTCTCCCATTGTTTTTAAAAGTTATACACAGGGTGAACAACATACCCTGGAATTTTGAAAGTTAGAGGTAAAAATCCTGCCTGCTGCTCTTGCCAGTTATAAGGACTTTGTCTTTAAGGGGAAAAAACATAATAAATTTGCATAAATCACTTAAAAACAATGTATGCTACCTTAACACATTAAACAACTCAGTCTGCTCAATATATGCATAGGTATATTTATGATCCATTCTTTAGATGTGAATCAAAATCTTGCCCTACAAACACAAAGGCTACTCTGTACAGGGAAATGTCAAATGTCTGCATAGGTAAATTTGGAAATAGTGAAATTTATAAAAGGCTCAATTACAGAGACAATGTTACAAGAAAGCTATAAAAATATTTAAATATTTTTACATTTTCTCATTGGTTGTTCTTTAATGAAAAACATTGCTCTACCATTTTTGCAAGCACAACTTTTTTTAAATACAAAAAAGACCCTATMTTTTTTTTCCTCATGACTTGCACATTTCTATTTAACATGAACACAATACTTAAATTGAGAAACAGATTAAACAGTCTTGCTGGTCTTATGATACATTATTACCAGTAGAAAGCTAAGATAAAAGCCACTTCTGAATGCAGCCGAATTCAGTGCACTTCTGAATTCTCAACTGGTAATATTTGGAAAGGAAAAAACAGTAAGTTGCTGAATAGTGCATGTTAGAATCATAAATCTGAGCCATGAAAAGTAAAAATGCATGCAATGGAGTTCACAGATGAGAACAAGAACTGCATTGTTATGCCTGCATGTTAACAGATTTCAAAACTGAGTCATAAATATTTTATGCAACACAAGCACTCAAAATTTAGCAGGAATGTTTAATGTATTCCTGGTATGTTAAAGGAGAACATCTGTAATTGATGTTACTAGCCAGTTACCTAGCTAGATATCTAGGTTCTAAACAGAAACATTAACAAAGTTGTCCGCTCCTTCATGGAAAAAGCAGCATGACTGAAAATTAAGGGTAAAATTAGTAATAATATTCAGTCATTTAAAAACTCACTCAATACAACTCAATTTTTCAGCATGTTGAATACCAAGTTGTGAAGAAATTTAAGTATTAGTAGAGATACTTACAGCATAATTGTAGAAACAATCATATATTAAAACAATTTCTGGAGAGAAAGTATGTCTTCACAGAAAGACACCTTTCCAAAACACAAATGTAAACCCAAATTTTGGAGAAGTGGAGAGGTATACATGCCTTTGTGGAGAATTTCATTAAGACTTTTAGTTATACATAAGTATAACACTGGACTTCCTCATCACAGTATCACAAAGATGAAGCCCTGCATGGAAATGGAGGTGCACATGCACAAGTGTTCCTCAGAAGTATTACTAAACTAGTAACACAAACAGTTTTGAAGAGATACTTTCCTTTCTRACATATGCTTCTTTAGAACCCAGTCAAAGACAGAAAAGGAAGTCATACAAGGGAAATCTGGCCCAGAATAAGAATAGATTGGTTTCCTGCTGTGACCATCCCAAAATTCCTGAACAACTGCCTGTGGGAAGCCTCTCTGGCATGCAGCTTGTTTAGGACAGTTCTGGGTAAGGAATAGCTGGCTGCTTAGATGTCTGGATTCTTCTGCCTCAAAAAACAGAAAACTGAAGTCATGACYGAGTCAAAAAGACATGGAATCGCATCTCTACATGGGCAGACTGTTAGCAGCTTTCTAACCCATGCAGCCATACAGCAACATTCCATTGTAAATTCCTTGAAATGAAAGGAAACCCTCGTAACAAATTCCTTTCAGTAGGCATGCTAAAAAGTGAAAATAAGGTAAAAACAAATTACAATTACTAAGAACATTAGCACCTCTTCTGTGCTAGAAGTTCAGCTCTAGAGCAAATCTAACATAAATCATGGAGAAATTATACTGAATTCTTGCTTGAAAAATCTTTATCCAACGTAGAGAACAACTGAAGGGTAATTGGATTTGTCATCTCAAAGTACTAGCATCAGATTTCAAATAATACAGAGTGACACTCTTAACACTAATAAACAGAATGTTAGCCAACTAAACAAATGCAGTGTTTCTACTGTAAGGAAATACATGCACCAATTAAGTAACCATTTCAGCACAAAAGTAACTTAATACATAACCACATGAAAAGTGATCTCGCTGGGAATAGCACAGCTGCTAAAATTCAAGTCAGTTCTTATTAAATCATGAACACTGTGTAAAACAGGGCTCTTAATGACCACAAAGAGGAAATGACTTGATAACAAAAAATTGGTATCTGCATTTATCTATCAGGGTATGTTATGTTTTTATACATCAACATCTCCCRGATCAGAGAGATAAATAATGATTCTAATCATTTAATTTCTCTGGTTKCAAAGAGATATGATATGAATAATCAAGTTTTCCTTTATATAGATTGATTTTTACCTTGAATCAGAACACTTCAGTTAATATAAGCCTTACCTCTGAAAAAGATGAGAAAATGCTTTAACTGCCACTGAGCTTACAGCTATTCAAGAGTATAGACACATGCTGCTAAAATTAATAGTAGTTTAGTGTTTCAACTCAAGCACAAAACGGACATGATGTCATGTAAAATGTACCCAAACAGCCTAGTGAAATAACAGAAATACTATAACACAAGGGCTTTTGCAAGATGTCCAATTTAAAAAAAAAGAAGTCCCTTAAGAGTTTTGGGTAACTTTTGGAAAACAAAAGGCTAAGTGCTGTGAAAAAGCATCAAGAAAAATCCTTGCAATGAGTCCCTAGGTACCTAAAACTTTACTGTATTAATGACCCACTCCAGCAGGCCAAATTGAGTCAAACCTCAAAATCTTCATATATTGAGATATCCCAGTCAAAACTTCTTGAACTCATAYTATTTGACCATGGAAAACTTGCCAGAAAAACTTTTCAAGGCCACAGCACAGCAAGCCAATTTAAGAGCGCAGAAGAGGCCTCACACAGACACATTAGTGGGCTGACCTAGCGTTCTGGCAAGACGCAGCTCAAATCCCAGCAACAACTGTAAATACATGAGGTGACTTAGGACTGTCAACACTAACATGAGAAAGCAAGTATTTTSAAAAAAGAAGCTTAATAGAAGCTTTTTCTCCCCTCCAAGACAATTATTACATCCTATTTTGTACTGTGAAACAGAAATCAGGACAGCTTCATATATTTGTAAAGCAATTCCGTTTAAAGCTGCTAACAAAACATTTATCAGAATTCACTTCTTAAACAGCTAAAGCAATGCTAATACTACTATAAAGCTATAAAGCTAAATGTATTTGTTAGTACTTTGTTTTTTCAGTAGCATGTTCACCCTAACCTGTGCTTGGTTTCTTTAGCTTCAAGAAAAATATTACCTGAAGGATAGCACACATATACTCTGCAAAGAAATACAAAAAACACAGGACTGAATCAGACAAATTCTGGACCCTAAGGAAATGGGAGAAAGCATCCATAAAAAAAGTCCTTGGCATCCCCAAAAATGGCCTACAGCAGGACCATTCTGAAATCAAGTACAAAGACATATGGACTTACTTTAGGTGAACACGCTGTGCACTTATCAAATGCTAGGCTGACTGGAAGAACATTATCAAATCTTGATAAAAAACCACGTATCTGAAAAGGAAAACACAAAATTACTTTGTAAATACAAAAAAAAATTACTTTCAAGATTCTAKGTAACTGAAAAATATCCATTCAATTAAAAAGATTAAAAGCTACAGCTAGCAAAACACTGTACTAATTTAGCAGCTACACTAGATTTACAGGTGTTATTTTGTACTAAGTTTATGCAAGAGAAATCTGTTTTTCTATATATAAATAACAGCAATACTAAAAGCAGCACTGTTCAGCACAGGCACAGCACCATCTGGAGTTTAAGTTTTTATTGCACAATTAAGCTAAAAAAGCTAACAGTATAAACAGTTAACATGGTTTCCCACTCCTATTACAGATAACCTGAAAAATTAACTACTATGGGTCTCTACACCACTCAATATACTACTGATGCAAAATTTTAAAATTCCAGACCATTGCTTTGACTAAGAGGAATAGTTCTGCAAACACTTTGGAGCAGGGCTTGATTATTTAGACTATGCCCTCTTTGAAGTATTGATTCATCTTTTTTATTCTCTGGTTTACAGAGTTTACCACAATAAAGAAACCTCACTAAGAACAGACCTTGAACAGTACTGCAATACAAATAGTAATGTCTAAGTTAGTACTGAAGTCTATGACTGAAAACATTTCCTGCACTACACAGTTTTAACATAGTACAAACAGCATAAGTCTTGGAAGCCAACAGCTGCATAAATGATACTAATACAACTGCATTTTAACAGAAACACTATACCATACATAGATGCAAAAATGCAGCTAAACATGAGCAGTCAAGACACAAGAGTGCCTCTTTTCTTAACTGTACACTCCTATAAGGATCAAGCAGGGACAGACCATAAATGCCTCAATGGAATCCATACCATATTAAAAACACACAACTGAGTCATGTATTTCAAGTCTAGTAGCCTAGGATATGTTGCAAGACCTAAGACTAAAGAAAAATCTTTATGAATGATCAAAATTACTCATTCATCATCTTATCCATTTCTCTAGTCAATGGAAAAATTCAAGGCTACTACACAGAAATCAAGTTTGGCTTAGCCTATTGAAGCTACCTCATCCCTTCTAGTCTCTCACAATCCTGCAGTTTTAATAATGGCTTTGATACAGAGCATCAAAAAGTGTGTATTCACCGTAACATAGATAAATATAAAGTGTAACTAGATAAGAAGGCAAAGACAACTACTAATTAATAGTGGTAGAAAATCTGTTTTCCAAGTTCAGTCAATATGCAAGTGAGATGAACAAGACACTATTGAGTCTGTATGCCAGAATACTATACTATAACTATGGTCAAAACTATTGTCTTACATAAGAGATCTCATCTCCTTTAATTTTAAGCTCAATTTTCATTGAGCTTAAATTTAAGCTCAATAATTTATTACTGAGTTTTTAATTGAGCTATATTTATACTACGGTCCTTTTAAGAGGACAAAGGCTGGATCAGGCTCACCTCCCTGCAGCAAGAGCTTCCCTCCTGTGAGGCAGGGGAATGAGCATATTAAAGTGAGAGAAGCTTCCACACTGGGACAGGACAGACTAGTAAAAAAATACTACAGGAAAAAGCACTTCACCAAGCCTGAAGAAAAGGAACCTTCCTACAGACTAAAACAGACTGTGCAGATTTTGTCACAGCTCAGAGAATCACTGAGACTACTGAAATCAAGCCTGAAAGCAACAGTGTTTCACTCTGGGGGAAAAAACACAAGTAAAGGCAGGAAAAGAAAACTTATTTCTGTTCTGCCCAACCTGGTACCTTGAACTTATCAGACAGCAAGATCTCATTCTACTTTACACTGTAACAAAATGTTTTGCCAAATTGACAAACTTTTTAGTCTTTGACAGATACATTATAAATAAAAGGGTTAAGACATACCTCAAATCTCTGGCCAGTTTGCTGTTCCCTTCACAACTCCTGTTTAAGTCCTACTTAGTTTATAATCCATCTGCATAAATGCTTCTTTTATCTGTCTTCATGTACTGTCTTATGTTCCGGCTTTATGCTTTAATTTGGGCCTTATTTTCTTCACAAACTCCAGATAAGGCACTGTACATGCTCTTCCATATTCTGAATATCATGATGTGCAATTACAGCTAAGTGCTTATCAGCCTTTTAGCAAGCAGGTTCTCTACATACTTCACAAGTTATTTCTAGTGTAGCACTATGTAAACAGCTATTCAGAATAAAGACAACTACCTCAAGAGAACGACCAAAAAAACAGCAGACAGTGGACCCGAGTAAAGTCTCTACTTGAAAAAGTTAAGTAAAGAGAGGGCAAAATCTCACATATCCTTCTCTCGCTTTCAGGCTGTTCTCTAGCTTAGTGCTACCACACTCCTGATTTACCTCATCCCTGATTTACTGCACTAAATTAGTCTCCTCCTTCCAAGAAGGAAATTCAAAATCAGATGAGAAAGAAAAAACATACCTTTTTCCTAACACCGTAGTTGTAATTTACAGCATCTCATGGATTTAAAATATTGTTGCTGTATTAACTGATAAGAGCAGCATTAAAAGAGCATGCGTGTTCAGTGTATGTTCAGAGGAAATTATGCAATCTGTAGAATGGCAAGTATATATTTTTAACTGAAGTTTGTGTTGAGTAGAAGACAATGACTGTTCTATAGCATAACAAAGAAATACTTTGGAGAACTATGATAATCATCACTTGACTGGGTTTGAATGTTTTCTCCCAAGAAATAATACAGTAAGTAACTTTCAGACATTTACCTTTATCACTCCCTGAATGCTACCTCCTTGCAAGGAGAGGGAGAAGCTGCTGTATTTATATGCTGCCTGCTAGAAGCTCCCTCTCTTCAAAAGAATTTCTGGTAAGTAGACAGTGCTGGAGAGACATTGCCAATACCACTATCTCTTTCTGTATTACAGTCTAATAAACATGCAGTGTAGTCCTTGGTGAAATGGTACCAGCATATAGTGTGATTAAGTATGCCAAGTATGTGATATTGACTTGATCTTAGTCTCCAGTAGCTTGGTGAATAGCCAAGAACATTTCCTCACAGATTACCTACCTGATGAGGGACAAGTCCAAGTGAAGTAGGTGGTTCATTCATTCTATCATCACTACTGCTCGCCACAGCATAACCACTGCCAAAAATCCAACAAAAAAAATCAGAAGACAATATACTAGTCAAAATTTCCAGCTAAGCTTCGAGATATTTCACTAGAGCTTAGAGTTTAGAACCTGGAAAGCAATTTGTCCAGACAGTCTGTTTCTCAGTCACTAAGATTCAGTATGGAGATACAAGAATCCTTTTTCAGAATTAAAAATCTTACAGACTCATAGTTCACTCATGTCTAATTTGTAACACTTTCACAGAATACAAAGTCAGAAAAGTGTAAATTGCAAGTTGGAGCATTTCATATAACTTCTGTATCAAACCCACTAACTTTAAGTTAGGATTTTGCAATATGACTTATCCYCAAGTCCTTCATGTCACAAAAGGACTTAGAATAACTCATTACACTCCACTTTTCAAAAAAAAAAGAACAGCCAAGAACCATTAACAAGAAAATTTCTTGCAAAATATTTCTAATACTTTCTACTTTTAAGCTCAAGGTGAGGGAAAATTCACTCTAACACTAAAATTTAATATTTCATCTTTCAGTTCTTAGACACTGCAARTTATAGCAACATAGTAGAAAGGACCTATATATTACATGAATACAATATTAAATCTTAGAAGTCACATTTCAGGTGCAATTCCTACTGTTTCTCCCAAGATTACTTAAAGTCTCTCTTATCTTATTTCTTCAAAACCTCAGGACTCACCCTTCTGGATGCTGCATAACAGAAACCATTAATTCCACTGCAAGAGCCCCAGCTATCATGGCTAATCCAGGTCGACTGACTGTACACTGCTGGTCCAGTGTCCGATCCCTGGTGGACTACAAGAGACAGACAATTCTAATAAAAAGGAACAAATAACTCAGAAATAACTAGCTAGCTACACACTAGGTCTGTCTACCACTACACAAAACACTTCTATTTATCTGCAAGTCATTTGATTTGAGACAAGCTTTTTTTAATGCCACGTACAATCTAAAAGAATTTTTTATGAAATGATATCCACAAACAATAAAAAATCAAGTCATAGCAGGAGAGATATATTCACCAAATGGTTGCACATAAGGTTCTACTCACATCCCCTGGTGCCACAACATCATTGCAGAAATAGCAACCCAGTTTATAGCCAGGGATATTTGAAAAGAGTGATGATCCAAGATCAGAAGAACCAGAGGTACTGCTGAAATATGAATCACCAGATTCTTGCTGTTTTGGTTTCTTTAGTCCATGTCTCATAACAACAAATGTGTCAAATCCCAATGCAGCATTGATGACCAACTACAAAAAATTAAGACAGAACAACATACTGAAAGGGAGCCAGAAGAGGCAGGGCAAACAATATGTGCATCTGAATTTTGTCCAATGCAAATAACATTAGTATTATTGGGACAATTTATTTTGCCACATAGTACCACAATTGCTACCATAAACAAGCCTCCATGTCATCTCAAATTCCTTTTGTAGTTTCAGTTCACTGTGGTCTGAAATACAACCTCATATCACAAAGCAACAAAACAGATTATACAAGAAAATGCCCAGCCAAGAAAACAGTTATTATGCATCATCTTCATATTTAGTGATATACCCACATGAGCATAGCAACTATGGTCTAAAATTACATTGCCATCATTTTCCTTCCTTCCTCTTCAATTTGACAAAGGCTTAGAGTAATCTGAAGCTATATATGGAAAAAAGGTAAAATGGTAAGTTTCACCTTGGTTCTTGGTATTTCAAGTAATTTCTGGGTATGCATATTCAGCCTTGTTCTAATTCTATCCAAAGTCCTAATGTAGTCAATCTCTTATTTGTCCATCATTATTGTAGTGTCTTTTGTCCTCTTTGAGATACTATTAACAACCTTTAGAAATACTCAGACCCAGCTGAGCAAGATCAAGCAACATGCTCTAATGTTAGCCCCATTCAGAACAAAAGGTTTGGACTAGATGATCTCCAGAGACCCCTTGCAACCCATACCATTGTATGATTCATATTTCTATTTCCTTTTCAGAATTATCATTCTGACACATATATAATCTGTGAGGCTACAGGAAAGCAGAGTTTCTGCAGAAACATAACAAACTGGTCAGCATTTCAGTTTCCTATAAAGACTACACAGAATCTTTTTTCCCCCTTCCCCACCCAAGCTGGATAGCGTTCCAGAGCTAAAATTCAGCTGACAAGGCTACAAGCAAGGCATGCAAACATACAGCACCTTTCTTTTGCTAGCTGCAATGACAGCAGGAAGCCATCGACTCTCTCTTGTGTCCATTAGTAGGAAAACAACATCATGAGCATCAATAAGTTGTTCAAGTTTAGCCACATCCTTCTGAGCTTGTGCCATCGTTATTTCAGAAAAATTCACTGGATGGCCTGGCATAGGGATGCTCATGTTATATCCCTCTGAATTCTGGATGGAGATTGACAGAAAACAAARCATTAAGAGGATGAACTTGTGACTTAAGGGATTTACTATACAATGTAAACTGTAGAGTACAAACTCAATTACTGCTTAGATGAATGGCATTTTTTCATCTGTCAATGCTGTACACTAAAGTACAGTGTTAAAAGTTTGAGCAGATAGCACTCTTAGTTGCTGTATTTATCCAAACTAGTTAGATACAAGTGTACTACTTTTAACGAGCAAAGCAGAGCAACCATGTCCAGATGGTTCTGTGCCTGAGCTAACAAGCCTTTTCTCTCAGAACGCCTTACTGACTGTAAGATAGCCAGGCTGCTTCTAGTTCGATAAGTAACCTCACTATGAAAACAAGCAAGCCAATTTTACACATTAATCCTGCTGTACTCACATAAATAAAGCAGTCCCTCATACAATATGAAAGGGTGATAAAGTACTAGTTCACTATCTGAAAAAGGAATGGATAAGATAGTCAATGTTAACTGATTACAGCTATACAAATAACTGTCCATTACCTACTTGTAATGAAAGGTTGCAAATCTTTCAATTCTGCTATTATTGAGTATGATAACAGTACTGAGTACTGTATTACTCTGCTATTACTGAGTATTACCTTCTGATTTGTTCTGTAATAAATCAGTTGTAATACTGTTAACTGTTATATGCCGTATACAATCTTAGAAGCTAAAAGGAACTAAAGCTCTTTATCAAAGCATTCTTTGCTTCATTTGCAATACGGTTGTTATTTTTTTCCAATTAGAATGAATGAAGTAAAACTAAAAACAAGAAAATAAATTAACATACAGCAGTCAAGCACTTGGAGCGCAATCAGAAGTTAAAAAAGCTTATTGAAATAAGGAACTTTGTACAACATATTATCCATTGGGAAATGAAATAAAGGGAATCACATAGCACTGCAAAATCAAAGTTTTGCATAGGTCTTCAGAACCCAGCAATCCTGCTCAGCTTCCTAAGCACTAGCGGACTGCCTGGATTCCCAAAGCCCCAAGCTAGCTTTGGCTATTCTTCAACTATCAAATCCATGAGCAGGCACAAAACCCAAGACAACTAAGCTTTATACCCAGAGACATTTAAACTGATGAATACAGGTTGTGGTAACAAGCAACAGTGCAAGTCTGCAGTAACAGAGGCAGCTCTATTTTAAGTTTAGCAAAAATCAGCTGAATTATAAACATCTCTCCTTAACAGTAGATTCACTGTCCAAGCCATCCCAAAGCACCAAGACTACCCAGGCCAATTAAAGACCTATTGTTAGTACATGTGCCCAGGCTGCCACTTCAACCTCACCACTTACTGTTAGCATGACATTAACTCTTCGAATAGGGGAGAACTCCAGGAAAGCCTTGTTCAATCTTGTTAGTACTACCACATTGTTTCTATATACATTTAGTGATGGTAAATCACAATACCTCTTCTCCACAGATTCTATCACAGTATTGTCTATAGTTAAAACATCCCCAACAAAAAAAATTCTGTATGCTGCTGCTCAACATTATGGGGATCTTCATTTTACTAGCTATATACCAAGCATACTGACACTTTCTTTGCAAAGTCTTTATGCTATTGCTTCCTGTTTATTACTGCAAGTTTCTCTCCATGTTATCAACTTCATAGCCTCATCCAAATGTAAAGCATCTGTAGTACTGCCAAGTCTTATTTTTCTAAACTGTTTCTAATAAACCTTAAACTTGTGAAATTTGTTATTTCCAAAATAATCATACATAACCATTTGATCAACAATATAAATCAGTTTTTTTTTTACACAGAAGCTATTTTTAAACTACTCATCCTTTCCTAATATYCCTGCTTCCATTTTCTCATTTTTTCAAAGAAAAACATGGTTCATATAAATGCTGGATAAATGCCTCATGTTGCTGCTCTATACAGCAATGTACAGATACAGTATTCTCTATGCATATTACACTAGACATCTTTGTTATTAAATCAATAGCACATCAAGCAACAATGATATTATGGTGCAGCAACACTGAAACTCCAGGAACTTCCAAACCTTCTCTTTCTCCTTTGGTCCTGAAAAAGATCTGAGTGTAAAACTTTTACAGTTTCTTCTTACTGGGTGATCGTGGCTTGATATTCAAATATTCACTGACTACTGCTGAAAACTAGTGAATTTCCTAAATAATGATAATAGTAGGATTAACACAGATAAAACCAGAACAAGAACATGGAACAGTCCTTTGGCCCAAAAAATAAACCTAGGACCRTCTGAGAAGGACTTTGTCTAAAGGCTTGTTCATTGCACTGGTCATTATCAATATCAGAGATATTACACTTTCCAGAGTCAGCTTTTCATATTCAGGAAAAATTATTACAACCAACACGACTAGAGGCATAGCCATCCTGTCAAGTTTTTTTTTTAAACCTTTAGAGCTACTTTAAACACTAAACATTAGGAGGGTTACTATGTACATAAATACTGTGCATAAACCCCCGGAATCAAGGAGGATAAAGTCTGTTCTCAGACTCCATTTGCCTCACACATCTTAATATTCTGTACTAAAAAAAGCACCAACGAGCCACAAAAAGTTTAGACAATTACGTATGTCATGTAGGTACTTTTATTGCCCCAAGAAAACTTACTCCAAGTACTCCCTACCAGGGAAAAATGATCAATATAACACCTGTTTGGAGCACTCCCTGCCCACAATAATAAACCTAGTAATTTACACAGTTGTATTCTATAAAAAAATCATAAGCACATTTTGAATACAGATCTTACCACTCCTGGGAAGATTTTCTGCAACCTGTCTGCTGCTGCAAGTGCCTTAGGCTTCCCACCACCAAGACAGTCCTCAAATTCATACAGTGGTTGTCGTACAGGATTGGAGTAGGAGATCTTTGCATTGTCCACAAATGTAATCTTCCTGACTCCCCAACCCTAAACAACAAAGTAATTGAAGCAATGATTAGGACAATGGGTTTAAGCTATGCTCTTTTGAGCCTCTAGTGCCAGAAACTCAAGATGACTTTTTTCAAGTTATAGAAAGACAGAACAACAAAGAGCTTCTCAATTTGCTCACAGCAGTAAGTTATATTTGCACTGAATTAAAATGACACAAATTTGTGGAAATACACTATTTAGTAGTAACTTCTGCAATTGCACTAAATTCAGTGAGATATGATAAACATCCTTGAAATATATGCTGACATATAGGTATTTCCAATGCTTCACGGAGGATTTGATTTTATAAGCTTGCTAATTTATTCAATTTAAACATTTTTACTAGTCACTGTTTTATTATTAGCAGAACTAAGTCATTTCTACCACCTACAGATATTACCTTTTCCTTGCTGATTACAGTTTTAGTTGGTATTATCTATACATTAATACAAAAGCATTTAACTTGCCCATATGTGACACGGTAGCTGCTCAAAAAACTTAAATGCATCTTATCAAAAAGAATAATTACTTTTTATGATCAGCTTAGAACTTACCATCAAGGTCCTTGCAACACTACAACCTAGAGTACCAGCTCCTAGCAGCAGACACTTAGCAGACATGACTTTCTCCAGATCAAGAGTAGGGACCAATCGCCAGCACATTAATTTTAGATTAAGATCCACCGATGATTCTGCCAACCTATATCATGAAATAAACAGCAACAGCCTGTTGGTTCTGCTTGAAGCAATTGATTTCTCATGAAGTTCTATATTATTTCTGAAACAGCTTTTTCTGCAACTTTTTTCTGGTAGGATGGCACAGCATGTTTTCTAAAGACCCTGCAAATTCTAACCTTTCTGTCATTCAGAGCCAAAAAAAGTAGACAAACACTATCACACCAAACATGATCCTGCATGTCAGACACACGCGCACACACACACACACTTTTTCAACATCCAATTCCTTTGACTTCCTGTTTTCACTGATGTGTTGGCCAAACACTGCTTAAAAACATTTTAATAAAAGTTGACTGCAGTGCTTAAATAAATCAATAACGAAACATGAGTAACCAAGAAAGTTACCAAAGTTTAGAAAGTAAGAAATTAACCTTTTTGGATCCATACATTCACTGAGATTCACCATCCTTGGACCCATGCCTCCCTTCTGATTCTTCTCCCATCCAACAGCCTTTGGGCAGTCTATTTGACACAGAAAAAAAAAGGAAAACAATAAGAGCCTTAATACTGCAGAACAGGAAAAAAGAAACTTGGCTTTAACTTTGCTAGTGCAGAATAAAAAAGAAGTCTGTTAGCCTGTGTTTCTTAACATTCCAGCATAAGCTGTGCTGTAAGTGCTGCCGTTGTATTTTATGCCTAGTTGAAACTGCTTCTKGGTGAGTTTACTACCAGATGTTTTCTACATGGCTTCCTCTTGTTGAATCTGAGGAAATCTAGAGCAGAGATGACATCATTACTCATCAAGCTTTTAGCTCATGATCATCAATCTGGATTCTCTTGGCTCCCAGCACCTTAAGGCTCAGGGACACAGAAGCCGCACATAAGACACTTAARCCAAAAGTACTGACTGTGTGAAGTTCTCTGAATCTGTAGAATTTTTTTTGCCATCAACAATCTGTATTGAGAAGTGTCATAAATTAACSATAAGCTGTATGAGAAACTAATCTTTGCTTTGATTTCATCACCAACAAAAGCAACTGTAGGGCATCATATGGATAACAGGAGAGMACAAGCAGTTATTCCATCTCCACCTTCTCAATGCCACATTTGATTTGTTGAAAGCCTTTTGTACTTATATAGGCACTTGATCTTACACGACATTCAAAATGTGCTACCTGCACTACCAAAAACAGGACTCAAAGAAAATAAGAACAAGGAATTCTAGTGTTAAATTGGTGTCCAATTTGTATTTTACTTACACTACACAATCCTCCCAATTAGCAATTTTATGCTTATATCAGTTTCCACAATATTGCTGTAAGAAAACCGCAATGAAATTCACAGCGCAAGAAAAATACACAAGTCTGAAAACATTTACTGTTTTCTGGCCAATAGTTTACTCAGATATCATTTATGCCATACATTCCATATATTTTCCTATATTTCTTACAGTATTCACAACTCAGTAAATTTTATCAAATTTATCTCTTCACGCTCTTATCTGCAAACTGGATAGAAAATCATATATCATAATCACATAAAATCAAACCAAACCTATCATAGTAAAGCATTCAATTTCTTGGGTAAGATGAGGTAGCAAAATTTTGCTACTTGCTTATAGACAGCAATCAAGTCTGACGTTTTTTAAATTACATCTGCGTAACTCACTTTTGCCTGAGGACACAATTCTACTCTGGATTCTACAGTCTTATAAATTTATTGAAGCGTATCAGAAAATAACTATCGCTTTTTTTTTTATGCTGAGGGACTGCAGACACATTTGCCAAAAGAGATATATCATAGAGGACACATTACAGACTAACACCCAATACTTCTATTTCATATGAAACCAGGAATACTTTTTTCAGTACCATAAAAAGAATTTAGAAGGAAGAAAAAAGGAAAATAAACTTTTTTCTCTGACGGAACCATTTGCTTTACAGACTTTTGRCAAACCAAAACAATTTTAGATACATTTGCCTAAGCCATGGTTTAGTAGCATTAATGTCTTTCTCTACATTGTCACAGTAATTGAGGAAGGAATAACTTTTTCGCCCCACCCAAGAGTAATTACCTGTCCCAAGGAGTCTCTGTGGAAGCTTTATTTCAAAGATAATACTGTGTGTTATATCTCTCACTCCTTGCATGGTCCTGTCTCTGAAGCACAGTACTTCGAGTGACTGTAGACTCCTGCCCCTGGTAGTTAAAAACAGTAACAGAGACAAAGTTTCCTTTAAAAAKGAAACAAAAAAAAGCCAAACAAACAATAAAAAAAATTGTGTTGAATGCTCTGCCTGTATCACAATTCCTTACTCTGGATAAGGATTATTCTGAATAAGGCATTTTTCATTAGTCCTGCAGCACTTGTTTATCAGGTATAARCACACACAGTTTATTACAAAGTGGAAACATCCCATTTGTTGTGAAGCAACTAATAAAACAACAGTTAGACTGCCTTCTCTCATTTCCACAATGCTACTGGACAGAATGTGCATTAAGGGGAATCAAAGGTGAAGAAGGCTTGGAACAGACATCACCCAAGATGATGTACACTAGTACTTCCCCATGCCCCAAACAAAGACCCTTGCAATTTTTGTAATCCCATTTCATAAGCCAAAAATTAGAATTTTAGTGCCACAAATTCTCCAAAACTCATAAAGTGTAAAGCTACCTAGAAACACCTATATCCTTCCATGCTATAGTTCAGTTGGCAGCTTGGAAAAAGCTGCACCTAGTAGAGCATTTATTTTCCCTTCATTGTACTCTGTAATAAAAATGTCAAAKTTGCAATTATGAAAAGGCAGCTTAACCATATTGGGTGCAGCAGCCTACCCTTTTTTTAAAAAAAAAACACTAGCATCTAAAACCATCTGCTCTCCAAAGCCTCTGCACAAGAAAAAAAATTTTAAGTGCACAGCAAGAAAAGAGCATAAGTATCTGACCTTCACACTTCAGGTCTGCTATTACTGGACATGAATCCATCCTCTAGATATAGAGGAGATTTTAATACTTAAAGCTTGTACCAATTATAGTTTAAAGACGGCCAGCAGCAGAGTTGAAAGCATGCCTTCGCAAACACCTGAATTCATGTGAGGAACAGTAATAATGCAAACCTGTGGCTGGAAGTAAATTCCAGAACAAAACATAAAAATAAAGTTAGCAAGTTAAACCCCTGAAAACGTTCAAAGTGGCATTAACTTTTTTATATTTTTTCTTTTTACACATTTTTGTATATTTGTCACTGAGGAAGGACTGTATGGGTAATATAAGTAAAGCACCAAGGGGAAAAAAAATCTAATGAGGTGAGTGTCACTCAAGACAATCTCCATGAGAAATATAGCAAAACAAATACCATTTGTGAGCTGCCAGAATCAGGAAATTTCTCAAAGGCCACCCAGGATAGTGGCTTAAATTACATGGATCATAAACTCCAACTGTCACCTGCAAGTAAAATAATTGGTATTCAGTTCATTGAAAAGGTTATCCAGCATATTCAGAGTTCCAAAAAAGGAACACGAAAACAAGGATGGCAAAACATTCAGAATGGCCTAGCAAAGTTCAGCACTAAGCAATATGATCAAAAACAGCATTCCATGTACACAAGCATGTCAGTCAAACTAGTCAACTGTTACTAAGATAACTTCTGCTTCATGTATGATCACAATGTCTTCCTAATTGAAAACAATGGACAGTGCACACTTCTTCAAAGGACTGGCATGATTTCTGCATCTAAGAGATGATTTACTCTACTGTCCTCTGGATGCACAACTTGTCTTCCAAAAATTCTGTAGTGCTTACCTTGAATATTTTTCATATAAATGATCTCATCATCTGCAGGGTTTCCTCACTTCCATAGAAGTTCTCAAAACATTCATGGCAAAACACGTGTCAATATATCTTTGACAAATTTTGTGGGAAACTACACATGAACTTTGATAATTGGGAATACAGTGTGGTTGAAAACTCCCACGCAGCATTCCAGGGTGTATTTACTGTTACTGTAACCAATGGAAAGACTCRGTTCAACATCTCATAAAGTAAGAAAATGGCATTTGTGTAGTAGGCAAAACACAAATGCTCAGCATTACCATAATGATCCAKATAAGGTGATTTAAAACCAGTATGTTACTGTTAACTCTTACACAAAATAGTTAATTCCTATCCGAAGGTATGAGAGCATGAAGAACTCAGCCATTAATTAGATGTAACCAGCCTTTTGTGTAAGCATTAGCAATACTTAACTCTTGAGGGAGAAATAAACCCTAGTTGTTGGTATTTGGCYGTTAACCCTGTCTATTGACTGGCCAACTGGTGTGCCTAGTCCAGTATCATAAACGCTCTACAAATCCTTTGTAGAATAAGTACTTGTGAGTTATAAGATGCAAAATTCTACCTACCTTTTCCCCTTGCTCTTGGAAGAAAACATCCCACTTTTTGAGCAGAGATATCACCACAGTATTGTCATGATACTTAATTAAAAAGTAAGGTAATGCTGTGACCCCTTCTGCCTGGCAAAGTTCATCATATGCTTTCTGAAGTGCCTGGATCTAAAAATCAAAAGGACAACTGTAACCAACAGCTACAGTGATGTTATGCAGAGCCACAGCAGGTGTATTAACAACTGGAACAGATGGCTAGCTCACTCCTGCCATTTCTCAAGTAATCTTAGTCCTGAAAATAGATTTTAAAATGTCTCTGTGTGCTATTAGGACCACAGTAACTGAAATCAGCAATTCAGTTTTGAAAACAGCATCAGCCTACGCAAATTTGCAACCAAAGCATTGTTGCTGTTGCAGTAGATGGAAGTAACAAGAATACAAAAACAAAAAATCTTCTGATAGCTGTAACAGCTTGATAAGTAAAACTGCTACAAGAACTACCACATGAAAATAAGTGATGTTTTCAGAGAATCAATTTGAGAATTAATTCCATATGTGCTAAGAATATTAAGTTTAGTACTAAACTTSTGGGGGGTTTTTAAAGTTGTTAATATTAAGTATTTAATATACCTGATTTAATGGGAATCTGTCACCCAGACACACTGGTTTCTGAATAATATGTATTCCATCTGGGAAGCAAAGAGCAGGGTAGCAAAACCAATAATAGAAATGGTACTTCTTTAAATCCTAAAAAAAGAATTTATACAATTAGGTAATATCTAAGTCAGAGTGTAAACTACTGTGAGTACTGTTTATACCTCTGATAATGTAAACTTGATTACCCTAGCCATAATTTTCTACTTCAAAGAACTGTGGTGATTTAAAACAGATTTCCCCTTCTCTGCAAGAATTTAAATATTAAGATTTTTAAATATTAAGATTTAAACAGACAATATGCTAATGTTTCAACCTTTAAGTTTTAATTTATAATAATGCTTTATACATTGCAGTCTGTTGGATTTTAAATAGTTCTTATTCTAATTTCAAGTAATCAAATAATGTAATTTAAGAGAAGAAWATATGAGATAACATCAGATGGTTCATGGGCTACACCCTAAGATCTTTTGCATTTTTTTTTTTACAAAAGAATGACTTAGTCTTTTACAAGTCTAAAAATCCTGATAAACTTAAAACTATAATATTTTCTCTAGAAAGCCATCTATTTCATGATTTCCAAATCAGAGCTCTAAGTGTRAGATATATTATCTTTACTCACTGCAAATGTCAGGAGCAGGAATCTATTCAAGAGCATAGGGTTTTCAAGAGCAGCTCCAGATTTTATTGATTCCCATATCTGTCATTGATTGTGAGCCAAAAAAAAAGAAAAAAGGTAATGTAAGAATGGCTGCAGAAATCTTTAGTTCTTATAATTCTCAATTAAAAATACTAAGAAATATTCCCAGTAATCCACTATGGTCATTTTCTATTTCACCTCATGCAAATTATCCACATTGAAAGGATTTTCCAAGTAGCATACAGGATTGTGTCCTCTAACACAACTATGGATGCTGACGAACAAAGTGGGTATTAAGGCACATGGTATTAAACAAACAAAAAGTATCAGTAACAGACCTTCAGCTAACTGGCTGATTATGGACAGCCTCTCCAACATTTGGAGCATAGCCTATAAAGCACCCCACTGATTATTTCCAAACCCTATCTCTCTGCTAGTTGATTTCATTTTTAATCTTACCTCATTTGCTTCTCTATCCAGAAGTGACTTCTTGTCACAGGACTTGAAAGTCTCAAAAGTGTTAGTATTATATAACGTTCCAAAAGCAGGACAGCAACGTGCTGGTATTGGAGCATTCCTGAACAAAAAAAAGTTTTGAGAACTGCACACTTTTTTAAACACCAAAAGCAGTGGTAAACAACTCTCCTGTGGTGCAGCTTTGTTGCAAACCAAAGTTGTCTAGAAACTGCAACATGACAAGACATAGTAACAACTGCTAATGACATCTTTACTGAAAATATTTTTTTACAATAAGCAATGCTTTATTGACTACAGATATAAGCACTATGTGGAAAATATATATACCTTGTGATTAAAAAAATTACTGTACACACATCTCTAGCAAAGGACCATTTAATCACAGACTAAAGATTTTAAAATTCTAAAATCATCTCAATTCATGACATATAATTTTCACTAAGAAGAAACTATTAAGATTGACTTTTAGTAGTTAATATTTTTAATAGATAATTTTTCCACTCCTAATTATAACTAGGAATCTTCAGTAGAAAAAGATCTTAGGAATAATTTCAACCCAAGTCAGATAACTGAAAACATCTTCCTTTACTATATTCCTTACTATATTTACTATATTCCTTACTATATTACTTTATTATATATTTATATATATATAAATAATATATTTATATATTTTTATATATATAATAAATATATATATTTATATTTATATATATTTATATATATTTATATATATATTATATATAAATATATATAATATATATAAATAAATATATATATAAATATATATTTATATATTTACTATATTTACTATATTCCTTACTATACTACTTTATTATAAGAATAGCTTATAAAATAAGAATTTTTTTTTATATAACCAAATATATAAATAGAATCTGTGTTTGAGACTTCCCACCAAAATATTTTCAACTTGGCCTTCTAAATGAATACACTACTTCATAAACTGGATGTTAATTTAAGATTTGAAATTCAAAGCAGCTTCTCTGTTGTTACAAAGGCCATAAAGAGGTACACTTGTATTTTGTAGCATGTGATTAAGCAATACTACACTCCAAAGCATTACTATTATTCATGGAAAGAATCTTCACATATGGATTAAGACAAACCACATTAGGTACTTACATATCAAAGGCACTGAACTCCAATGTCAAGCGAGCTGGCAAACCCAAAGGGTCACCTAGACACAAAAGTGCATCAACACATGTCATTCAAACAGTAAAGCACAGCTGGGGGGGAGGAAGGGGAAGAGAGCTGTTTCATGGTTGTTTGAATAGTTATTCACAGATATACTAGAACTCATAGTTCATTCATTACTGTTTTCTAATTCCAGCAATGTTTCAGCAAAACACTTCAGGTTATACAAATTCTTAAAGGAAAACAAAAGAAATCTAATCAAGTAATTAAGATGTTCACTTTCTACCTACCATTGTAGTAGTATCCCTTGATAATCTTTGGAGTCTCATCCAATCGGTACTCATTGAGTTTTTTCTGTGTTAGTTCATGCCAGAATCCTGCATCTAAGGCACTACTGAAGGGAGCAAACTGCAACTTAGGGATTCCAGGATCCAGAGGATGCTGTGCCTCATTGCTGGCAGCTGCCATGACTTTATTCATGGATTACTGTTAAATAAGCAAACCAATTTCTATAAAATCAGGTACAGTTGAAGCTCAATTGATTATTTTTGAATATTTTTCTTACATAATACTCCCCCTCAACAAAGTATAAGTCATTGCACTTTCTCTTAAGTAAACAGGCATATAAATTTAGTGTAAATGGAGGAAGATACTAGGCTATAATCAGCAGAAATGAACAACACATGAAGCCTTTTAATAATGCCTGTCTTTACCTTCACAGACATAATTAATCCACTGTATGATTGCCCATGAAAGAGCTTTTAATATTCATCATTAAACTCAAATAAATTTTAAACCAAACTAACAATCCCTAAAGTCATTTTTTTCCCTACAAAACTCAACTCTAGACCACTGAACCAAGACCTCTCTACATTCACTTAGGGAAATTAAGAGTTTCATATGCACTATATTAAACACAATTTCAGAAGAGCAGCTTGCTTGTTCACAGATCACCAAGCATCTCCAATGCCCACTATGCAGCCTACTTCAGGGTCGAGTAGAGTCTTCCCTATTTCCATAGGCACCCCCCTCCCCCTCCCAACACAAGCCCCTGCAAAGGTTTCTCCGGCTTACGCCCAGAGCCAGGTGGTGTGGGTAGATGGAGGGAATGGAAGACATAGGTGTAGCCTCAGGACCCTTGACCGAGGTAAATGGCATTCCTAAAATCAGAACCACCTAAAACCATTCTTAAGACCAAAAAAAAAAAAAACAAAGAAACACCTCAGGTGCGCACACTGCACGTCAGAGGCGGTGGCTCCTCCCGCGCCGGGCCCAGGAGCCCCTCGACACCCCACCCTCAACAGGGGGAAAAGGAGGAGCTAACGCGGGGAACCCGAAGAGCATGAGCGGGCGGCCGGGGCCGAGCACAAAGCRGGTAGACGGCGGGGCCCGGTCAGGTTTCCCTCAGCGCCGCCAACCGCCGCAGCGCGACCGTTGCCCGCGCACGCAGCCTCTCACCCGCTCTGCAACCGCCGCCGCTACTTCCGGCATTGCCGGACGGTACAACCCCACCCATGACGTCAACGAGCCGAGTGGTGGGGGCGGGCGCAGCCTTAAATCCACAGCCGCGGTCACGTGGTGCCGCGGCGACCGTTAGAACCGCCCACGGCCGGTTCGGGCCGGTTTGCTCCTGTTACAAGGCGGGAAGGTTGAGGCGTTAAGTAGGCGCCATTTTGCACGCCTGCTCATTGCATTGGCTGCGACGACAATATGAATAGCGTAATGTCCTAGATGAAAAGTGAAGCAACGTGGTCAAAAAACTGCCCCTTCTCACCCTGTGTGAATCTGCCCAAGTTTCGCAGTGCTGAACAAAAGCAAATGGTCCTGATGTCCTAATGAAGTATCCATGGACTTTATTAACCATATTTTGTAAGCTGGAATACTGAGGATTATCATATTAAATTCAAGGTATGGGAAATCTTCCATTTTTTACATCAACAATGATCATTGACCTGGTTATAGGCACAGATACTTAGTGCTTATAATTGTTGCCAATGCTTGATCTTGATTCCTAATGCAATATAAGCATCACCCCTGGAATCTTTACACTCACCTTCCACGACAGCTGCCAGAGGAGTGGATGCCCGTAACTTGGAGCAAACCTGCCTCTGATGGCTGCAGAGTAGAGCCCAGCCATTAAAGCCCAAAAGGTGACAGGTTAGAGCACTTCTGTTGATGCAGCCCAACATCTTTGTGCACTGGTTGGCGCACGGAGCCCCCTTCAGACTTGTGGAGGACCCAAACTGKGGCAGCAGCTGAAATGGTGAGGAGCATGACCACTGTGGGGCGCCGGGGCGTCCTGGAGGAGCACGTGATGGGAGCTCATGCAGGTCAACACAGGTGACCGCAGAGCCCTGTCCGTTTGACAGACTGACACTCGTGTATCACCTACACATTGCCTTGTGCCGGGAACACGCTTGCTGGGCAGCAGCTTTGCTGAGGAGACAGACCCATTGGAACGTGAGTGAACAGCATCCTCCCTCTATGAGGATAAGGGCTCAACACCACAGCATTAGCAAAAGCATGACCAGGGTCCACAGGGGAGGGCAACCATCCCCTGCCCTCTGCAGTCCTGAGGCCACATCCTGGCTGTGTCCAGTTCTGCAACACAGTGCAAGGGAAAGATAAATGGGGGGGAGTCCAGTGGAGGGTCCTGTTAGGGGGCTGAAATGTGTGATGTGAGAAGCTGAAAGGGCTGGGTTTGCATAGGCTGGAGGAAAAATGGCCAAAGGGAATTTAATTGCAATCTTACATAACCTAAAGTGGGGGTCTGGAGAAGACAAATTCTTAAGAGATACAGAGCAGAAGAGGACAGTTGCTGAGCAGATGTTGCAACATGGAAAATTACAGGTGAGTGGTAAAAGGTTTCAAAATGAGATTGGTTAAATGCTGTGACAGGCTGCCTGAGAGGTTGCACTGTCTCTCAAACAATATGTGAGAGAGAGTTTTTGGATGATGAAATTAAGCCAGAAGATATGCTTCAGCAGCAAAGTGCTCCAAAACTAATGTTCCGTTTGTTAAATGCATTTTTTCCAAAAAATAATATGGAAAGTGAAACATGTCGTAGATTGTACCCACTGCTAATTGCACCCCTCTTTTAATAAATTTGTATGATCTACAATATTTGCTGTAAAGTCCTAAATCATTTCACCAACCGCTAGATGTCACCAGTGACATAGAATAAAAATAGAACATATTTTTCTGCCTCTTAAAAGTGAGGTTTGTTGTTTTCACCACACCTTAAATAAAGTAACATACTCCAAGAAAACTGTTTTGTTTGGAAATTGTGAGACCTTTGACCTCCTTTATTAATCAGAAAATGTGGAAGATCTTTTACAGGAAACCAAACCTAGAATATTCTCTCGAGGCTCAAGACTCAGCCCCACATTTTAGTGGAATTCTCTGTTCCTGCTCCTAATTTATCTCTCTCTGCTCCACTGACATCAAGAGCTATTTGAAATGCCTATATCAGTAAAACATAYCAGTAAAGCCTGTTCTGTACCTTGCTAATTGGAATTTCAAAATAGGCAATATCCCATTTTCCCATTTTATTATTACCTATATGTGTCATATTAGAGGAGCTTAATCCCCTTCTATAATTGCTATAGTTACACTCAGACTATGGATAAAAGAAGACAGAAAATGTTCAAGCAGGTTTATTTACCTAGGTTTAGCTGCTGTGTGATAAAATGATTTTCAGTCATACCATAGATATTCTTTGTAACAATATTCACCACTTTAAAACTAGTCTCCAATGTTTTTTTTTGATTGCTGTTTCATATGTTAGTATTTTTTAAGGTCCGAGAAGGCAACTGTGATAATCAAGAGAATAGAATGCCTGATAACTTTAAGGATTCTCTAGACAAGCATGTTTAAGTAGTGTAAACTGCTAACCATGGCTAAATTAGTATACTGCTTTTTTATATCCCTAGGACTAGGGCCTACCTAAATTACAATCCATTTTGGCCAAACTATTCTGTATTGCAACAGAAAGAGCGGAACAGCTGTGAATATGAACCTGTCTGTTGAATATGGACCTGTCTGAGAGAGACTCTTGAGAGTATATGTTTCAAACACTCTGCATTGTAGTGAAAAAGTTCCAAGAGAAGACATATTTTGTTACTTGTGTAGATGCTGCTCCTGATGTGTGAAAGCTAACTTAACTCCTGATGAATTTAGATGCTTCCATATTCCATTTGGCACTTTTTCCAWATTAGAGTTCCTCAACTGCAGTTATTTCCACATACCACTTCAGAATCAAGTAATCTCTGACCTTAAATACACTCAAGTACACTGAATTTAACTTTATTCCTCCACCATGCATTTTCCAAGCATCAAAGTATCTGATTATGAAAATGAAGTGATATTAGGGCTTCATTTAATCCTGAATTCTTGAAATACAGCAAGTAACATTCAGATGTTTAATTCAGAGATGGARAACTCACAGAGGATGATAGTGCTTTGTACATTATATCCAAAATTTACTTAGTGTATTATATCCAGAATTTATAAGCATCATGCAGAACTTTGCTTAAGTGTCACATCATGTTATAGTCAGTATAAAAGAGGCACATGTAGGATGGAGAGACTCTAAACTGCTCAAGATGAGCAAAAACACAGAATTCAGAATTTCTCTTCCATATAGTACTATAGCATTTTTTTTCTTTCCCAAAAGACATGCAATATATCACACAGATCATCTTTTCATATCATCCCACCAGACTTCTGACTGTGCTCAGTTAAAAAGGTTTCAGTTACGTCTAATCTTTGGTGATAACCAGGGCAATTTCAGAAACAAGTATACACTTCTTCATTCTGGAAGTTTTAAATTAATCAACATGACAGAATGGCACTGAGAGGAAATCATTTTTATACTGAACCTTGAAGATATCTTTAAGATAGGCAGTTTGTGACTGCATACTTAATCATTTACCTGCTTGTAGGAAGGGAAAAATACATATGTTATCCATAACCTASTACATATGGCAAGTTTCATAATAGAAGTGTAACCTTCTTGAATAGACAGTGATTGTGTATTGAGTATGGGAATTCTTAGTATAATATCCAGGAAATAAATATTCTTTTTTTTTTTTCCCCTGAAGTTAACAGATACTGGCTTAARTAAAAGAAGCATGATATCAGAGGTATAGCATATTATAGTATGACTTGACAGTTCACAAAAGTGCACAATTTGGAGAAATAAATAAATAAATAGGTAGATTGTCTCAAGAAGTTGGAGCTTACATTTTGTCTTTGCAAAATACCTTTTTTAAGAGATCTGTCTASCCAAGTAAGTTAAAAAAGAAAACCATAGTTATTTGGCCCATCACAGAAACCATATTCTATATCTTCCTTTTCCACGGTTGAATATTCTATAATCACTGAAGATCTCTATTACTGTTTTCAGTTTTTGTTTTACATGCTGAAAGAGGAAACCTCAAACTGTAAAGTACATAACAATAGTGCAGCAGTTCTGAGATTGGCCACCAGTTTTAAGTTTTCCTGAATGAAAATAGCTTGTCTTCAAACATGCTAAATCTATTATATGCACGTTTCCTACTTTTACCAGCACTTGTTTATGAATTACAGTTTTCCAAAGGCACCTACTTTGTCCRTGGTGGTTGTTTTTGAAAGTGGAATGTTTTGTTTGGTGCAACTTAGCAACTTCCTTTTTTTCAGAAAAATCAGTCCAAAGCTACACTATCAGTGAATGTGAAGGATCTTTTTGAAGGTCTTCTTGAAATTCTCATTACAAAGAGGATAGAGGAATGGATTTAAAGTGGAGTTCAGGTAGCCAAGCCATATAGTCAACATGTGTAATTTGGGGAATTCTTTACAACTATGGAAAGCTATAGTTGTATATAATATAAAATAGGGAATCCAGCACAAAATAAAGGCTGCCATTATGACTCCTAACTGCCTAGCTGCTTTCCTCTCCCTGTTCACATACAGTCTTTTAATGTGGCTTTTGGAATGGCTATGCAGTCTTTGCCATGTTTTCTTCAGGTAAGTCAGTCCTGTGACATCCTTATCCCCAGTCTTTCCCTGAGGACCGCAGGCACCTTTGGGGTTAGGGTTAGAATCATTTCTACAGGGAGCTGTTTCTGCAGAAGTCTGGTCAATTGATGCATTGCTTAAGTCACTTTCCTGTGAGCACAGCTCCTCTTCCTTCTGATCCTCCTTTACAATACACACATACTTGTTTCCTGCTTTATCTAGGCCTGGCTTAGACTGGGCAGTGGTGAGAGGGAAACGGTTCCATTTGAAAACTTTGCTGTTCCTTCTGCTATCAAAAGCCTTTGCAGACTTGTTGGTATCGCCTAAATGAAGTATTGCCTCCAYTTTTTTAGGCTGAGTGGAGTTGTGCTTGTTTTTGGGAAGGATATTTTCATCTAAGATTTGCTTTCGGGGACACGTCTTTGTCTTGCTAGGGTTTATGCTTCTATTTTCTGAGAAAGACTGTGATGATCCATTGGAGAGCTGTCGATGCTGACAATGTTTTCTGACAGTCTTGAATATTTTCAAGTAGAGCCATAGCATGATGATAGAAGGCATGTAGAAATTGACAATGGATGTAAACAGTTTAAACCATGTGACTTTAGAGAAATCAGTTTCACACTTGGTTATATTCTGAATATTTTCCTTTTCACATTTGGTTGTGTTCTGTGTTCTTTCCTCTCCCTTACCAAACACATGCCAGCCTAGAATTGGGATGACCCACATGAAAGACAGAAACCAAGCTCCAAAAATCATTAAGGATGCTCTCATTTTTGTTCTATATTTGAGATACTTCAGTGGTTGCTGAATTGAACGATAACGGTCTATGCACAATACGAAGAGACTGAAGATGGATGCAGTACTGGCCACATAATCCATTGACAACCAGAACAAACAGGTTGGTATGCCCAGAATCCACRTGCCATTTACAAGATAAACAATATTCAGTGGCATAACAGCTGCACCAACTATAAGATCTGCAATAGAAAGGCTGACAATGTATATATTGCCTACTGTTTGCAGCTTCTTTTCAGTTTTCACAGCACAGAGTACTAATATATTCATGACAACAGTGACCAGTGAAATGCTACCTAGAAACAAACTTAGAGGAGCTGAGTGAAGGTCGATTGAGTTAATAGTTGTGTTTCCTGACATCTTTTGCACAAGGGCACAGAAACAAGTCAGAGAAGATGGCCAGGCCTTGGAAATTTGTTAACAATCCTGCATGGAATGTTGTTGGTGTCTTCGTGATTTTTATTTCAGGAACTATGAAAAAGAAAAGAAATATATTCAATCATTGTAGTATTAAAATAAAATCAAAAAAACTAATGCGTGCCTCAGCTGAGAACTTCCCATTTTAGGAAGAAGGAGAACTTCCCATTTAGGAATTTTAACTTTCTTCAGTTAAAAAACAAAGCAAAACAAACAAACAAAAAAAACCCCACGACATTTTACAAAAGGATAATTTAAAATGTGAAATGTTATAGCCGTGATATGGAAAGTACAGAAGAAATTTCCATGAACCAATCCAAAATAATTTACGGAGTTATCTCATAGAGATTTCTCTGATCCTGGAATCTGAAGAAGAAATTTTAGTCCTTTTTGTCTGAACTTCCTATATCTCATTAAATATATAAATGATTATTAATCATTACCTAAGTTATGTATTTGAAAAATATATCTAATAGCTGAGCAGTTCGATTTAATTATCACCAGTAGTAGAGAATTATTGTTACTAGTGTCATAWGACGAGGTGTTCAATAAAAAGATTATGACCAGTATATTCATATAGCTGATAGGGAGATTCATAATTATAGCCAGTGCCTAGGTTTCATCTGTAGGCAACAGTTCAAATTATAATGAGTAATCTCTTTCTACCCAGTTTACGCTTACACAGAAGAATTCAAACATTTAAAGATGGGAACTGTATTTTATTTCAAGTATAAATCAATAAAAACTCTGGAAAAATAATATGATATTTGAGGGTTAATCAGTGCCTTCCAACTTCACAAATGTATGGATATAAATATATGGTAGAGTGAGGATCATTAGCTTTGGAATGGTTTGGATATCTAAGAAATATATACAGGAACTATTCTCAAGTTTCAAGTCACCTCACTCCTGCACGCTTACTGTTGCTGTGTGCTGCATTAAAGGTGAAATTTAACTAGCTGTTAAAATCCAGAATAAAATAGGTGGAGGTAAGGCTAGATTTGTAGCAAAACTTTATTCTATTTATGTCTAAGAAACTAACATATACTGCAGTACAGAAAATGAACAATCTAGTAAGCACACTCCATGACACGTACATTTGTCCTCACAGTGCAGTGCTTTATGTTAACTTTATACTTACTTTATCACTTTATCTCTTTTTCTTCTGCATTAATCACTGGTTGAAGTTGAAATGTAAGGCACCTTCATACCACCATCATCAATAGTTTTGGTATTAAATATTATCAGCAGTTAGTGATCATGATAGTAGGATTTGCTATTGCAACTTCTCATTTTTTACTGAGACGTATATCATTTTGTAATGAATATGGACTTTTTGTGCTGTATATACCACTGTTCAGGAGTTACTTTTTAAATTCTTTATGTGTAACTCACTTCCTAGAAGAGGAGCTGTTATAACACTAGATAACTGTGCTTTAATAGTTGGGTAATTTAAGTCTCATTACAATGAGCYAAAGCCCACTAATTCAGAACAAATTTTAAAGTAAACAGTCTTAGAGCCTAGATAACTGTTTAAGATTCCTAAATCCTAATCTCAATGTGAAAAGCCTTCCATACTTTTCACTGTTTAAAAAGCATCTTCTGCGAACAAAATCAACAGCTGTGATTCATTTGTTTTTGTACCATGGTGATAAGATCTTAGAAACAGGATCTATTGGGAGATGCTAAATGGATCCCTTATTGACTCATTAGTGCAGGTGCAGCCTATTAAGCCCTGACTAAATGGGAGTAAGTTTAAAGAAGCAGATAGAAGAGATCACTTGATAGGTCATCTTTAGAGCAACTGCATCTATAATAAGGGAAGCCTAGACCAAAGAAGAATTTTTGTTTGCTGGATAAGCTCTAAGGCAAAAAGTAAGATTTGAGTTCAGAWCGGACTTTCAGATCATGTTCAGTTGTTGTGTGTGTATATTTCTAGGGTTTTTTATTTTTTTTTAGCCCTTGAAAGTATTGCTATGTTTAAAATGTATTGAGCTTTTCTCTTGTAGCATGTTTCCTCACTAGGAATACTTAAAGCTATGCAAAATTGTATTGTGCATTTGTCAAAGTGTAGGTAGTCTTTGTTATAGCTGCCTGTAGTTTTGTTTGTTGTTGCTTTTACTTATTTTTTCCTCTCTCTTTTGCAGGAGGTAAGCCATTTGGTAACCCATGTTTAGCCTATCTTTTGCAATCCTTAGATTAGAAGGGCTGTTTTAAGGAGAGGAAAAGATACCTTTTAATTGAAAATGGTAAAAGAACCTATGTGGATGAGTAAGGCGTCAAAGGCTTTCTCCACAGCACTTGGTGTACCTGAAGAAACTTTTCTAATGGCACTTTAAAGAYAGTAAAGGGAAGAAGCATAGGAGGCATTCTCCCCTAAATGCCAAGGGAAGGGAGTGAGGAGGATCTATTAAACTTTCTATTGTGCATGAATATMATTTCTCTTGTTTGTCTGCACCTCCAGCTTCTCTCCTCTGATAATTCATATGCATTTGCCATGTAATAGTATGAGTTCTCTTCCTAATGCAGTGAGTTGGACAGGCTCCCCACTTGGTGTGCAGGGTTGCTGAAGTGGAGGTTGCTAAATGGGGTTGAAGCTCATGTAGTTCGTGCTGGGGCTGCATCATCTATTCTAACAGCTCAGTAATTCTTCAGGATGCTAGGTTTGGATTAATTCAAATGTCTCAATGTCTGCCTACAGGTAGAATAAGTGTTCTCCTTCTCTGAACCTCTCAAATTGCTGTGGTTGAACATACATCTACTGATTATAAAATACAGCAGTGTTTGGGAACGCTCTTTTGTTAGAACAGCTCTGCTCTGAATTCCTTCCCCTTTGCTTATAATAATCTCCAGGCAGTCCTCCTTGGTATTCCATGGATATTCTTGCTACATAGCAAGTGAAAGACTTAATACGCTTCTTGCTATTACCACTGAGATAACACACTGTCTCAGTGTAAAATGGATCAAGTCCTTTCAGAAAATGTTTACAAGTATTGAAAAAAGACTGCATTGCAYTTGTATTTGAGTGGCTTTTACAGTTTGAGATAAAAACTGAATAATCTGATGCCTTGGTGTTTGGCCACTCAGATCTTATTAATCTTTTCAAAWCTCAGCCTTCTTTTTAAAACATTCAGTTTCACTCTAAGTGGCCTTATTATAAGAACCACTAGCCCACCGTGACCTGTAAATATTTCCYGTTCTGAATTGCAATTGTGCGAAGAACCTTTTATACAACTGATACGGATATCTGGGTGACTTGTTCTTCATAATACTGTTTTATACATCTGCTTTCAAATGCCTTTTTAGTGAGTCTTGATATCAACAGTGTCTTGGAGAAAAATGAAATAGAACTAAAAGAGCAGATGGGCACTGGCACAGCTGCATAGAAGCAGATGCAGAGGCTTAAAATACAGGAACAAATTTTTTAGGAGTTCAGAATTAATGATCTGGATATTGGTTAGAGAATTGGACATCTTGCAGACTTGTCTCCTAGTGGTGCCTGGGATACACCCACGGAGGAAGAGAAGCAAACTGTTTCTGAAGGCTTTCTATGCTTGCATTTCTGAAGAGAGTGAATGACCTACTATTACTGTAATAGTAATAATGATCTTTTGCTTTTATACCTCCAGTCACTCTGATGTTTTTCTCCTGGTTCAACTACTTCCGGTGTTTTGAAAAATCCTCATCACATTATAATCTTAARGTTTCCAGATATGGTATTAATTTGCCCTCCTAGCCTAAACAAACTGCTGTAGTAGTGTAGTTTAGTCTAAGTATCTTACTGGTGTGATTTTTCAACAAACTGATGTTTAAGTAYTTAAGCATTGCAGAAGTCTGAAGAAGTCTTTTATTTTTCAAATATTTTTTTTATAACCTGTTGGTAAAAAGCCTTCTGTTTTAAGAGCTGCATAACCTAGTAACTGTTATTACAAATGAAAATTCCTTTCTACTTTGGTATAGTAATGAGGCTGTGATGCAAAAGTGACTAACTGTAAAAGCTTTTACAAATTGGACAATTTTCTAGTGCCGCCCTGTCTCAGAAGCGGAGTTGCCACACTGTTGCTTTTTCCCTTGGAACGTGGGAATCTCCCAACATTCAAAACTGGAATCTCCTTACTTGCTCAAGTACAGGACTTATGTCAAGTATAGTCCCTGCTATCTTCAGGGTTTGGGGATTCTGTCTTGTGTTACTTGTTCCAATCCTTGTCTTACAGTAAACTTAGATTTTTGTTTTTGCATCAGAACTGCAGTATACTCGTTTTTAAGGATTATTGCTCTATGAGGTTTGTCTGTTTCTCCCCAAGTAACTCAGTGAATCATGTTCAGAAAGTCAAAAAAAAGTGCGAACAAAAGTTGTTAGTCCTTTAAATATGGAGGCTGCATATTGATATTCTKACTACAGTTTACTTTGCACATTGATAGCTTCCAGGAGGAACAACTGGATTTAGATAAAGGAAACGTCGGTGTCCAATAGAGTGCGTTACAGGCTTGTAAAATCTGACAAACACATCTGCGATTAACCTCTCAATTAGGAGTGGGAAATACTAGAAAGGTGGAGTCAACTTGCTTTGCTTTTGCTTCATAACAAATAAATGGTTGTAATAACAATAAGGAAGGATTTCTTGGGATCCAAATTACATCCGTCAACATACTACTACTTGCCTCCAAGCTCTTAATGTGCTTGTTGAATAATCTAATGTTGCTGTTTTTCTTAAATATAAAATTTAACAGTAATATTTTAAATATTTAAATTTTAATTTAACAGTAATATTTTAAATATTTAAATTTTAAATAAAAGAGCCAGAACCTAGAACTTGTTTCTGGTCAGGTTAAACATTAACCAGTTTATTATCATGCTAATACTGTAACTCATAATATGAAATCCTAATCCTAATATTTAATAGAATGTATAAAATAATTTAGGTCAGAGTAGTGTTTCTAATTTTTTTTAAGCAACAGATTGAACCCTTTGGAGTTGAAGAAATTCTGATGAGAAT